ATTAATAATACTACTAATTAGTTGTCCAAAGAATAACAGCGCAAAACAACATTTTTGTTTCAAGTTAACATTCTATCGCTATGTAGCACTATAATTGGAACATACAATAAAGTATATGTTAATCCCACAACCAATTCTTGTCAATAATTCTAAGTTATAAATGTGAAAATGATGTATACAAATATACACACGCACAAATAATCAAGCAAAACATGCAAACAACAAAGCAATCAAATGATACATATAAACGCACATACGCACAAATAATCTCTAGTATAATATTACAATAATCAATTCTCACCAACCCTATATACTTACTCCTCTACCTTATTTGGACAAGTTGCTACATTGTGGCCTGGCTCTTTACAAAATCCACAAGTGTATTGTCCACGTTTCTTTTTATTTCCTGTATCTTGTGATATAATTTTTGCAGCATTCTTGTAACTTGCTGCTTTTGGTCTTCTCTTAACAGTAACCTTTCGGGGATTCACAAGTGGTATATCTTCAATAGTATGTCTGTTAAATGAAGTATGCGTTGAGGTTTCTTGTTCTTCGATCAATTCATCTTCCCTAATATAAATCCTGCTCAAATACTCTTCGATTAAACAAACAAATTCATGGTCACAATGTAACATGCATTTGTTTATAGCAGTACATGCAAGGCCCCAAACTTTCCCATAAAAAAGCATTTCATTAATATACCCTTTGTTTGTGGTTTCACCTGTTTTATTATTGTTAAATGGCTGTAACTACACAAATCGACCTTTAATGTTCTTTGGTGCAGTATCTATATTGGTAATAGCATTACCAAACCTTTGACCAAAGTATATATCCTCCTTTGCAACATCTAATCGTTGGTCTCTTGGAATCTAGCACTTGGCAAATAGCCATAAACTAAACTGTGCCTTCTCTGTAATATTTAGCAAATGGTAAAAATGCTGACAAACAAGACCTTTTTTTTGTTGTAAAAGGCATGTACAACTATATGAGCCATTAGAAAGAAAAAATACAAAATGATTAATTTTACTGCTTGTAACTCTTGACAATTTCCAAATCTCCTCAATTGTATTTTGTTCTAAGTGATCCAGATATCTATTGTTAGTGGCTTTTTTTGTCATTTTAAGAACCCATTGGTATGTTTCAGCTGTTTCATTACTGACAAAAGCCTGAGCGATGATACAAGATTGCATATTATTGTCCTGAGCTACAAACAAAGAAAGTGGCATGTTGTACCTATTGGTACCTGCTGTGTTATTATGACCAATTGACTCACCAAACTCATACTATAACAAAATTTGTTCCAGACTCATCCAAAACAAATTTGTTAATGTATTAGTTTCATCTTCCCATGTAATTTCAATAAACTAGCAAGAATCCTCTTGTTATTTTGACAACAACTGGTCATAAAAATATGATACATTGTTTTTAATTACATTATTTGATGGTCAATACCGTTGTATTTCAATGTAGAGATCCTTAGAAAACAGGGGATGAGATGGAAATTTTTCCTTTAAGATACGTTGCACCATGGTTGCGCCAAGCTGGCACTTAGTAACCAGAAATTTAACTTCTTGCCATATTTCTTCAGTAAACTGTTTTTTTTTCAAATTGTATTGCTTCATAAGATAGATCATGGTTATGATTATCATTAAAAGTGGTAACAATTATATGA